AACTCAATGGTCTATCACTCTGGGTAACTATTCTACCACTGAATACTCTCCTATGTAGATTGTGTTAAATTTAAGACTGAAAACAATTCATCTTCGTTAGTTTCAGAACTACCACCTCCAACCATGCCAGAACGGTAATCTTGCGTTGTCTTGAGAACTCTGACTCTCCAGGTTCTGTGAATCCTTTAACTCCTAGTATTTTCTTTCTTTCTACCTCCTACACATACTGTGGCTAAATCCAAACCTCAGTATCTATCTCATCTCTAGATTAGTACAACTTCCTGAATAAATGTTTCTTTATCCTAGTTCCTTCCCAGTAACAATTCATTCCACCACAACTTGCTGCATACCAAATGCTGTTCTTGAGGCTTCCCATTTATTAGCTCCTCTGACCCTTATAACAAACTTAGCATTAGATATTGCCAAAAAGATTAAGAACAGTAGCCTACACAGCGGTTAAGTAATTCACCCATGTCCTCCAAGCTAGTAAGTGATAATATCTGAATATGACCCCAACAGATTCAGCTCCAGATAATAGTCTATAAATATGAATTCTGGGATGGAATTCAGATGAAGCCAACTTCACTTTTCTCAAACTGTACAGACCCTTTAGAAACAGCAAATTACCACTTTATTCTATCCCAACTCCTAGAATGTGAGTTCTCCTCTTCCCTGATTAATCCTGCATATTGCCTTCACAAGTCAACAATAAATCAAACTTAAAAGTTAAGCTAGTTCCCTCACTCTACAGCACAGCCCTCTTATGGACTCAAAATAAATTACATTAATACAGTTCTTGATATTCTATATGTACAGAAGTTTACCCTACAGTTTTATATTTTATCTTTACACATAAACAATAAAATGTCTTCACTTCCATTCTATGACCTTCTCTATTTCCCATCTTCCCAAATTCTAGAACTACAAGACCAGGCTGCATAAAGTAGTAATTAATAAATGGTTATTTGACGGACAATCATATGGCTCAACTATTTAAACAAAGCAGGGTACCATTCACTAGCCTTCTGTGGTGATATGTTTCTCACTTTATTCCTTAAACATTTTAGATTTGTAATTTCAACATTCAGGTAACACCCAAAAGCAATCTTGTAACTGTTTGGTCTTTTGTTGGTTTTTATTTTGATTTTGTTTTAAGGTAGCTTATGCACTGTCCAGAAATGGGGTTTTAGGTTTTGGGTTTTTTTTTTTTCCTTCCTTCTTCGGGTTCCTACCTAACAGCATCCTAGTAAGTACTGCTATCTAACAGCACTCTCTTGTAAGAAGATGTCCAAGTCTTCAACAATAAAGCAGACAGTGAATTTCAAGAATGATTACCAATTGTTTAACAACAGAAAAGACTATCTGTCTTTCATAATTGTGTATACTCTATGATCCTTTTAAACCAAAATACAGAAACAACTGTGATTATAATTAAGACTAAATGTTTTTATTTTCCTATCCAAAAGAACCATTGTGAAACTCAGGGAAGGCAATATACCAAAAGATGATTTTAAAACAGAAATGTAGATCTTTATTTAAGCTGTAGATGAAAAGACAAAAATAATCAATAATAAGCACATTTCACTAAGTATAACAAGTCTCAAGCACAGGACTCTGATGAAGGGGCACTGCAGGAACTGTTATCAAGAGCATGGTGCTCACAGCTACAATTTTGTGTTTCATTTTTCTGTTTTCCAAGTGTGTGCTTTCATGTACAAAATTTTCCTAAAAGACCTTTTTGCTACTTATCTTTTACACTAATAAACCATTTTAACTTAAAATATTACGTGTCCCCATGTGCCTGCTGCCTATGCAGTTACTATTCATCAGTAGAGCAATATCTAAAATGCTGAATCCGATCATATACATATTAGTAAAACTCAGCTATTCTAAACTCAACACTAACTGATATACACTGAGGCTCACACCCTTCATAACCTGAAAACACCTTGAGTGGCAAGCCAACTAGTTTCCTTTTTATTTAAAACCACCATTTCTGTTTGTACTATAGTTCAGTTTTAAAACACATTAGTAAAACCTCAGTTTTCTGTCTTCATTCTTTTTTACTAGATGTATTCAAATTTCACAGCAATTTGAAGTGCTCTAGGATGGGTCCACATTTAATAATCTTATCATACGTAATAGAGCAAATAAATACTTAATAATGTTGTGGAGTTTTTAATTACTAGGAAAGTGTATTCAATTATAAAAGGGCAGCATAAGGATGTCTTTACCCTACCACTCTCAATACCCTATTTGTGGCACCGTGCTACACTTAGGCAAGCCATAACCACTGAAGGAAAATGAGGAAAGGAGCGCTAATCTGTGGATATTTTCCCTTTTTGTTGTTGTTTGTGCTATTGGCTTGTTTGTTTCGACAGAGTCTCATGTAGCCCACATTGGCCTTTAAGTGTTATGTACCCAAAGATGACCTTAAATTCCTCCTGCCTTTGCCTCTGAGCTGAATTACAATTGTGAGCCACTATACTCAGATGTATATACTGTTTCCAATAACTATATATAAAGCTGGTGTAGCCCACCTTTCATTTCCAAAGAAACACTTTTCACAAGGTCATTACAGAACATCGCATACAGCCTAAAACACCAAGTGGACTAAATTACAGTCTAAACTATAATGCAAAGGAATAACTTCTTGAGGAAGAAATGACACTGTACAGACTCAAGTAATAAATGCACAGTCTCTAGCACAAGCTACTATGTAAGTTATTTGTTTTGCTTCAAAAACAAAATAAAAGGAACATCTCAGTCTACAGAATATATTGGGTACTTCAGGTAAAAAGAAAATACAAAAGTACTGTAGATAATCTAGATTGTATTTCAAAAATAATCAACTACAAAACTGAGTCATTCTTTTAAGAAGACAATAATAAAGATGATGTAATACTGCACATTGTAAACTGCAGCTTTCACAAAGCAAAAGATGAGTGTCACGAAAGAAAAAAACCTCTAGTCTTTACCAGCAGCTCTTCAAAAGGACCATGAGATGTTCACATCCTATATGCTGCACATCAATAGAAACTAGAGTGTGTTACAAATATCCTTTGAAATCAGCATATGTTAATCAATAAGGTACATGCATAGTACATACACAGAATATTGCTATGCCAATTTTTTTAAACATTCACTTGAGTTAAGAAAAGCTATAGAGAAACTCTATTCACCAAATATTTTGTTGTGAAATAACCTCATGCAATTTTCTCATTTCAAAATTTAAATCTCATTAATTACTGAAGGGCCTATCTTTTACTGTAATTCTTTTAAAAACAAATCTCACAGCTAAATATTGCTATGTCCACAGAATATAGAAATTTAAGTCCAAATAAAATCTTAATCCAGAGAAACCAGTGTGACTTCTATCAAATATTTGTGTGACACAGCCTTGCAGAGTGATGGCAATGCCAATGCCATGTTTATAATCCCAGATATTTTCATATCAGAAATCCTTCATAATTCTTAAAATAAGTATAACTGCACTCTCATATCAAGTTTCTCATGTTCCTATCCTAATCAATGGCCAGCTTCAACTTGAGTTGAAGCTAACAGTATAAAATAGCAATCAGGACTCACAGAGCACCCCAGGCACCTACCATGTCTTTAAAAAGTAAATCTAAAAGTTTGTAACAACAAACTCTTAGTTATAAAAATTAACATGTCCCCAAAATGCTAGTAGAGGGCTGCAAAACAGCCACTTTTCTACAAATCATTTACACCCCCCATCCCAAAAGCAGAAGATGCTCCAGTGATTACTAGCAAAAAGGAAAGAGGTAGAAGAGTTGGAATCTGGCTAACATTTCTTATCTTTATAATCAAGAATACTAGACTTTAGGTTATATAAAATCCAAAAATGCTTTTTATTTTCCTATTTGGTAGGTTAAATGACAGACATCCTATAGTTTCCCCACAGGCTGTAATGTCATAATTAAAAATAAAACCCAGCTAACCTAATGTGAGATTTTTAAACAGAAACTTTTAAATACGAAGTAGAAATAGAATAAAACATTACACTAAATTATAAAATGAACCTAATTTCCAGGTGTTCTGCTCTCACAGCCCTTTAGAAACCAGCCATGATTTTATTAAGATAAACAAAAAACATTGATCAAAAAAGAATGACTGAGCTTCTGCCCAGAGACCTGACAGCCCTTTTTCTCAGGCTGGTGTTCTCATTGCTTTTCTCTCCATCTCTTTGGACACTGAAGAATAAATTTAAGTAATAAAGAAAGTATAGCTTCTATAGATTAGAATATGCCCTGCTCTGGAATACTGATTTTTAAATTGTAAGTTTTCTTAAAGTTGGGACAGTGTTTAGTAATATAACAAAACAGCATGCCAAAAGCAAACAAATTTAACATTAATAGTATTGGCTTAGGACTCTAACTTTTAAAAATATCCTAACATGATTACAGGACAAAACTTCAATCTTCTAACAGACGTCATTTAAAATAAATCTAAGATTTCATTTACATCTAACGTAAAATTCACATTTTAAATTAATGTTCACAAAATTACTGATTTCCCAAAGATTTCCAATGAACAAGCATTTTTTAAGTAAATACAACTTACTAATTATTATCTCTATTCTACCTTTTATACACATAGATCAATTATACTTTTATCCATTTTAGAAGCTGGGATTTAATTATGCTAATGAGCTAGAAATATATTAAATGTCTGCATATATAAAAGAACACCCATGAACCACAGAGCACCTTCTTCAGGAATTTTTCTAAATACGATCATGACACAATCCACCATGTTCAAGACAATTTTCAATCTTAACATTCACAAAAGAAGAGCAACTTTAAATCCATGTTGAAAATCTCTAAAACATATCAAGGAATCTTGATAGACAACCTCCAAGTTTGAGATTTTTTTCAGTTTGTAATTTTAACCCGACATAGTACAGAATGGTGTGAGAGACATTAAAATGCTTTACACTTTTCTATTTAAAAAAACATAAATTTTCAACGTCATCTTACCTGACCCGCTGAACTGACTGCTCCCCAATGTCGTTGGTCTTGTTTTCCCACTATTAACAGGTGGAGAAAACATCTGCAAAATAACCCAAATGTATCTGTTACTCATGAAATTCTTCCATACTCCTTGCAAAGAAAAGTTCACCAAGTGTCATCAATAAGTTTCTTAATTTAGAATTTGAAATAAAAATGAAAGATACATTCAAACAAATCGTGGCAATAACAAGTGATATTATTTACTAATACTGCTTAGAAAAACTGGTGACATTTGCTATGAAAACCCAGCCACGGGCAAGATTTCAAGATAATTAAGTTTAAACAGTAAATTTTTACCCATGATCTTCACTTTGGCCCTAAGTGATTCTCATTACATTAACATTACTTAATAGCACTTGCAATCAGAATCATGTCCGATGAAATTACCACATACGGGAAAGATAATAACAGTTCTAATACAGCAGGTATTGGCCCTGCCTTCTAGGAGCAGTTAACGTTGAAATGCAAACCATCAGTAAGAAATAAGGGCAATCGGCTCTGCGGCTTCACCTTTTATTTTTAAATCATTTCCCATATTATATACACACTGCATATGCACAATTGAAGTATTCAGCTCAGAAGGCTGGGAATTCTAGCTCTAGGTTGACTTTTCTAAAGCTGATCTCTTCGGGTATCACAAGCCACATGAAGTCTTAGGAAGGGAAACACTGAGCACTAAGAAGAGTTTAAGGATGAAAAAAATCTTTCGTATAAAGTCTGCAATCCCTAATAATCATCAGAGCTAGGCAGTGACTCAACCAAAGCTCATGATTGCATTGTTCTTTTAACTGGTTAAATCAAATGACCCCTCTGGCATTAAAGTTTGAAATCTCCAAGTCTAGACATTACATCAAAGTTCAGGTGTCCAACTTGGGGGAGCTGGACTCCAGCCTTCAAGAACTGTCGCTGAAAAGCAGATGGAGTTGGCTGCTGCCATGTCGCTTTCCCTCTTTTCTCCCTGGCTCGCTATCTCAGGAAACCTCAGCAGAACCCCAAGATGCGGAGGAAAGCTCGCATACCGCACTGAAGTCCAGCAGGTCGCTCAGCTCCTTGTCGGTCCCTATCGCGGCCATGCGCTGCTGCTGGGGATTCATCTTCAGCCACTTCTAGCAGGTCCTACGGCAGAGAAGACGAGCTGAGCCGCGGAGACCCCCCGGAGGCCCGACGTGAGAGGGAGAGGGGCAGCGCTTGGGGTCGGGGGGCGCCGGCCGACACGCCAGACCCCCACGCATCCCCACCGAGGGAAGCGAGGGCAGAGGCGGGTGAGCCGGCTACCGCTCAGCTGCGGGAACCCACGCGTGGCTCGGTGGCTCCCGCAAGTTTCCGAGGTGGCTCGGCTTTGGGGTCCCCCAAGGCGGAGTACGGAA